ACAGCACACTCTGTCATCCTGTAAGATGGAAACACTCCCAAGAGTTTCAGGCTCCAACGCCTTAGTGGGGACAGAATCCTCTCACTGGGTGACAAGAGCAGGAACCCAGTAAGAGCCGTGACGTCTGTGACTGCAGAGGGACGCACTGGGCACGTGCGGGCTCTAGTTCTATTTCTGCAATGGTTTGTACAATTGCAAAGTTGCGCATCTGTATTTGTGAACTCTTCTGTCCATGTTTACAGTTACACACGTAAGAGAAAAGAGCCTCCGACTTGGGGATGTCGTGGGAGAACAAGCCTCCCGAGTCGCCCCCGGCGTCCCTGGACCAGGCAGCGCCTCCCCCGGCAGGAGGGCGAGCTCCCGGCGGGGCCCTACCTCGGTACAGGGTGTCCCGAGGGTCAGGCCGCAGCATGTCGACGGCGGGCTGCTCCTCGCCGGGCACAGCGGCTGGGGAGCCTGCATGGCTGGCGGCTGTCTGCGGGATGTGGCCCACCTCGTCCATCCTTAGGACTGTCTCGTCTGGGCATGGAGGACAGGACAGAGGGCAGCCGTGACTCCCGGAGCAAACCTGGCCCGCGAGCAGTTCCCTGCCTCCTTGAGGAGCCAGGAAGGGGCCGAGTCAAGGCTCCTGTACGCCCTCCCCTGCCACAGATGTGCTTGTATATGAAAAATGTCACCTGTCGTATCAATAAACAAAGGATGCTGCAGCTCTCAGCCACTGCAGCCACCCTCAGTGGTGCCCCCGAGGGGACTCAGGACGGGACAGCACAGGACACTGGCCCTAGACAGCTGACGTGCACATCAAAGGGATGATTTCAACAAGCCCAGACTCTTGCATCCTGTACGTACAAAAGCGCTGAATTCGTTAGCTCGAGACGTCTGGTTTTCTCTAGTTAGCAGTCATCTTTTGATGTTCTGACTCCCTGGTCTTTGCTGCAAAAACTCCTATACATTCTGGCTCCTCCCTGACCTCTTTGGAGCGGTCCTTTAGAGCAACCTCAGAAGCTCCCTCCCCAGCTCGAGTCCTCAGAAAGCCCACTGAACGAAACGTAGCTCTCAGCTTTCAGGTTGTGCATTTTCTGTCGACGCGCTGGCTCCCTCTTGTCCCAGCCGCTCCCACAACTTGTGGCTTCAGCTCTTTATCTCCCTTGGTCCCCCTCCACCAGCCCCCCGACGAGCACACACACCCCAATTTTGTGTGAGGTGGAAAAAGACACCTCAAACTGCTTTTCTGCTACCTGCTGGGAATCTGCCGTGAGAAGCGTGCCTCACTCATGTAACAAGCATGCGTAGAGCACTTCCTGAACAATGAGCCAGGTGCCGTTCCCAGCATCTTCCCAGCATCAGCCCGTTTAATCCTCATAAGCACCGTGGCTTAGACACCATTGTCATCATTCCTATTTTACAGACAAGGGACGTGGGCAGAGAAAGGCTGAGTCGCGTGCCTGAGATCACAACCTACAGACAGCAAAGCTGCGTCTGAGGCGTCTCAGCGTCTCGGGCAGACACGTGCACGCCCATGGGGGCAGGGCGCCCCTCCCGCTCCGGCAGCCTCACCTCCAAGCCCGCCGCCCCTGCGTGTCTCATCTCACCAGCCCTGGGGCCAGCTGCTGGTCTTCGCCCTGCCCCTGGGCCCATCCCTCTCGGCTCCAGGTGGAGCTGGCCTTCTCCGCCTGAGGCCAGTGACTCCTGGTCTCCTGCCCGATCTGCTGCGGGCTCTTCCCTCGGCTCACACACAGTCTATACGTTCCAACTCTCCCTTCTTCTCGGCCAGCCGGGCAGCCCACACCTAGCCCTCCCACCCTGACCCTGCGGCCTCCTGCTTCGGTCACCAGCCGCTCCCCCAGCCCACCTTGCCCCTTCCTCCCTGCCACCCTCTCCTGTGAACCCAGACCCCCGACCGTGTTCACCCTGTGCTCCACACACACACCCACTTCCCGCGTCTCCCGTCCCCTCCAAGCTCGCCGTCCCTTCCTCCCACACCTGGGCCCACACGGCCCGCCTGCCAGTGGCGATTTCTCAGTGGGGCCTGAGACGGGGGTCTCGCTTAGAAAATCACAAGCGATGAGAAGGATCACAGGAGGGTTCACTGACTGCCGAAGGAGAGCAGGTGAGGACGGTTTCTCTCCTCTGGCCATGGCTACGAGGAGGAACCACGGCGCCTCATTGCAAAATAGGGGCCTGGCCTCCCGCAGAGGTTTCTCCTCTGGAGTGAGCCTCCTGGTCTCGGGAGCCCCTTGAAATGGTGCATAGGACACTGCGTGTGGGCAGACGGGGCATTTCTCCGAAGCCAGGGCTGGGAGAGTTTCCAGCAGGTTCTCATGGGGTCACTGGCCCCGAGAGCTAAGGCCCTCTGATCCTGATGTCCTTTAGGCCTTGCTCCTTGTTCCGGACCCCCCCCATCCTGGGACCAGCTCCCCAGTGGGCTGAGCCCCGCAGGCTTGCCCCTTGCCTGTCCGCAGTCCCCAAGATGGGGCAGGGCAGGACACTCACTTGTGAAGAGGGACAGGGATGTGGAGTCGATAATGGAGAACTTGGCTCCGGGGTAATTCCGCCGCCACTGGATGAGGAGAGAGGAGGGTGGTGGCGGGTTGGGGGTGGCTGGGTTTTGAACAGGGTTTGGGGGGGCGGGGGGGCCAGGCGGTGGGGTGGTGGCCAGAGGCGGGGTAGAGGGTCTCACCGCGACTTCCACATGGTCAGTGCCCTCGCCATTCTGCTTGTGCAGCACCTCGAAGTAGTACCTGCGGGCGGCCGACAGTCTGCGGGAGAGCAGGGGCGAGGCTGCCTTCATTACCGGGGCCCCATTCCCAGCACCACGCACTCCCGCCCCCCTCCCCCTGCCCGCGTCCTGGGCACCTGCCATCTGGTGTCCGGTCAGAATCCCCATTCAGCACTCACTGACAGGGCAGCCCCGGTTTTCCCTTCCGTGGGATGGGGATGGTACCAGCACTAACTTCCCGGGATACTCCGGAGAGTCAGGTGAAATAACGGTCACTAACCCTCGAGAGCCGTTCCTCTGCGTAGGCTCTGCTCCGCGCGCTTTTTACACACAGGCGCACTTAATTCCTGTCTTACTACCATCAACTTCAACACCGTGACCATCAAGCCAAGATGTTCTCACAATTGTGCGTGCGTGTGTGTGTGCGTGCGCACGCAGGCCAGCAGGTGGTGCTCTGAGGATGGGCTGGTTTCCCATTCCAGCCCCTGTGGCCTCCCCTCCAGCCCAACAAGGGATCCCCGCCATGCATGGCTCTCTGCAGCACAGGCAGAGCAGCGGGGGTCTGGGCTGTGCAGCGGAGGACCTCTCCAGGGATGGAGGAAGCGGGCAGGCCAGGATGGGGAGGAGGGGGACCTATTCTGTTTTCCAGTCCTAAGTGTCGCTGTATAGCTGTGTGGCCCTCATGGAGTCACAGCCCTCTCTGGGCTCCAGTTTCCTCACCTGTAAAGTGAGGACGGATGGGCCAGGCGGTGTCTACTCAAAGACTCCGTTTACCAGAACCCACGGGGCCCTCTGTGATGAGGGGGTGGGTGGCAGGGGCGCCGGGGCCCTGGCTCCGAGCTGGTCTCAGCTCCCGAGGGAGGCTGGGGTCATGCTGCTCCCTCCTTACCTCACTGGCTTGGAAATTTGGCTCCGAAATTTCCCGAACTCTCCAGGGGCAGTCCACTCTTTTCCAGTCTAGAGGTGTGGGGGAGGGGGAAGAGAAAGGAAGAGGAAAAGATAAAACACGGAGGGTGGGAGGCGGTGAGTGAGGAGACAAGGGCAGCCCCCTCCTTCGAAGGGCCCTCAGCACCAGGCCACGGACCAGGGCACCCAAGGCGGGCGTGGCCAGGTCACGAGTCCTCCGGGGTCTGCTCCCGCCCACACCCTGTCTGTCCCTCTGCCACCCAGGGGAGAACGTGCTTCTCACCCCTCTTCCCCAGCTGTCACGCGGAGATGCTAACGGTAACGAGGGTGACCTGACACAGGCAGGTGCCTCTTGCACAACCTGGCTCCTGGGGCAGTGGGAGGGCCGGGGGCTGTACCTTGCCCACACTGGCCAGCAGCTGCAGGCCTGAGACCTGGTCGTCACGGCTCAGCCAGAACTCGGCGTTGTCGTCGGCGGCGATGGCAAACTGGATCTCCCCTGGGCGAGGGGGCGTTTCCCGGTGAGAGCAGGAAGGGCCTTCACCCAGGGGCTGTCACGTCTCAGGGACTGACTTTCCTTCAGGGGCTTGGTGCTTTGACTTCCCTCTTTGCAGAGTGGGGGTCTCTACGCCCTGGAGACGGAGACTCACGGGGAGAGACAAGCTAGCTCCAGACTCTGCAGATCAGGGCACGGAGGCCTCCCCACGCCTGAACTCTCCTCTCTCCCGATGGTGGGTTAACAGGGCCCCGTCGGCCCAGTGCAGACCTATTTCTCAGCTCAGGTATGGTCGCTGGGCACCATAAGAACTCTGGGGCAGGAAGGAGAGGGGAGGGACATGGGGGCTGTCCTCACCGTCGGTGAAGGGGTGCAGGTAGCCAAAGATGCGGAGGCCATAATTGGTCCACTTGGGGGACACGGCCAGCTTCCTCAGGGTTGTGCGGATCTGTGGCAGGGAAGGAGACGGAAACTGTTACAGAAGGAAGAGGAAACTGAAGAGCCTGGCCCGCTCGGGGCTGCAGGGAAGACGAGGAGCGGGTGAGCTGGGTGCAGCACAGTGAAGTGAGTGCAGGCGAGACTTCCGCTCCCACTCGCTTCTTTGTCCAGGTGACCTTGTACAGTGCACAGCCGGCACAACTGTACGTAGTGGCCCCAGGTAAACCGTGTTGTGAGCCAACGAGATGGCAGGGAAATTGAAGGAATCCCTGGGAAGGGAACAAGGGAGTTCTGTGGGCAGAGGGAGAGGGTCCATGGGATAAAGGAAAGAAAATGAACCAGAGAAAAGGCAAGGGAAGAGGAGGAAGACAGAAGTTAGGGGGAGCAGAGACAGGAGGCGGCGTGCACTCACGTGGGGGTACAGCGGGAAGTGCAGGTTCCTCCGCAGCTGCTGGATGGAGCTGCCGCACCAGTCTTCAAACACATGCAGGTTGACGCGGCCCCGGAACTGCAGGGCCAGGGAAGCAAGCGTGCGTGTGAGCGTGAGCACCCTGCCCCGGCCCCGCGGTGCCGAGGCTCGATGAGCCCGGTGGGGACAAAGCCCCAGCCCAAGCTCCTCTTGCTGGCGAAGGTCACGGCCCACGTCCGCCCCATTCCCATCCTTGGCGCCCACAGCTGCTTTTGGGAACTTCATCCCCGTGGCCCGGCCTTGAGGCCTGGGTCTGTTTTTCTAGCCTTACTCGTGTTCAAACGTACACACATACACACACGCACCCACACACACTCCCGGCCCTTTTGGTGCAGGACGGAGGCTGGTCCGCACCCCCCCGGGCAAGGGGGAGTGAGAGCCATGACCTAGCAGCGGGGGTGACAGAGGGATGGAAGGAGGCGCCCGGCTGGGGTTTCAGCTGCACCCGATCTCCCCTCCCCTAACACCTAACAAGGGTGAGCAGCACAGGTGTCCACCCGTGGTGGTCGCCCCACCAGCTCCCTGCAGCTGGGAGAGCTAAAGGAGGCTGGGGGCCCACAGCAGAAGGGGAGCCCCAGAGCCTCTTGCTGACCAAGCCTCTCCTGGGATGACCACCAGGTACCTGTGGCTTCAGGGCAGCCCTGGGCAGGTCCCTCCCTCCCCTCCCGGCTGTGGTGCTGGTGGGCAGAGGCCCCCTTGGAGGAAGGGCAGGGAGTGGGAGAGGGGAGGGAAGCTCAGGGTACTGCCCCGAACTGTCCTGACCAAGAGGTTCAGATTACTGCACCCCAGCTCTCCCCCACCCCTCCCTGGAGCTTAA